AATCCCCTTCGCTTTCACTGCTATTATCCCACCTACTTTTAGAGTAGGGTTGGTTCCATACCGCTAAGAGGCGACGACATAGCACCGCCGTTCAGCTGTGTGCAGCTGTGCAGCTGTGTAGAGCGCACAGAGCGTACAGAGGAGGTACAGGGGGCACCGTGATTTTAATCAGCGACAATCGGCGACCTCTATTTCCGATTCGGCGGAGCCCCCTTCAGAATCGACTTTTTTTTTTTCGGCGATTTTTGTTGCTGCTGTTTTTCGGCGATATTTTTCAGAAATCGGCGTTTGCGGCGATCGCCGGCGGGGGAAAGGCCTGGCAATTTCGAATTCCACATTCCACACTCCCACACACAATCCACTCTTGTCCCTCGTCGTGTCCCTTTTGTCGGGCTTGAAGTTTCCTCCGCCACTTGATCATATCATACAATTGTTCATGTGTTTGAAAGCTAGGATACGCAGGGGTAGAGAACGAAATATAAATACTATTGAAGCACAGCAGGTTGTACAGCCGTTTGCGGGGCATTTTGTTTTAATACATAATCTCACAGAAAGACCACCCGTTCGAGATAATACCACAGCAGTCGAAGGGAATGTGTTGAAGTCTTTACAGTGAGTGGGAAGAAACCGGCTGGATACTGGGCGTATTTAGGGTCTGTTTAAGCCTATACACTGACATTTTATCAGTGATGCCAGCAGGTGCTAATCACAAAGACACACATAGGTACAAATATTTCGAGACATCTCCACCGTAGTTTGTATGCTATCTTAGGTCAGAATATCGGGGAGAAACCCTCCGTTATGTCGTGTGTTGTGACATTCTGCCTTCACAGGAACACGTCGCATTGTCTCTTGACAGCATTTTTTTTTTCTTCTCAGTATGACCCAACGAATCCATCTCTATCTACAGAAAAGAATCTGAGATAGATTGACAATTGATCCACAGCGTCAGCGAAGGCTCTGTATTTCCACGATTTCCCGAGCAGCGCACAGCGATATCTCCCCCGTGGGTAACAGAGTCAACAAGACAGTTTGGTAGCCATCTCGTGCTTCTATCTGCATGTTATGCTGGGAAGGTGTAGAAGGAAGACGTTGTGTAGTTGGTTCGTCGGGTGTGCTATCGGTGGCACAGATGTTTGAAACGTACGTATGCACGCGGTAAAACATTTTACTCCCTGCTTCCGTGTGTTGACCCCTGGCTGCATGCGTAGGCGAGCTTCAGCCGGCGATATATATATATTTTTTTTTTCCCGTACATGAAGCACTGCTGCTAGGATGATCCGAACTGGGGGTAGCTTGTTGCAAGACGTGTGTTGAATAGGGTGTCGGCAACTCGGCGGGCTCTCGCCGATTAGACAGGTTTTGTTTTGATCAATCTCTAGTCTCAACGTCTCAACTCCCCGGTGAGGGGGCGACGCCATTTACAACAGGGGTTCTAGCACACCCTGCGAATCCATTCCCCACGTACCGCACAAATACCCGTTTTTCCGCCATACCTCATTCCATGGGAACATTCCGTACCATCCACTTGGCATGGCTACACGTATATTCAATCAAATCAAGCACGGGGAGATAAGCAACAGCAGTTTTACCCTCCTAGTACGCAGTCCCGCCGAAAAAAGAAGTAACCGCAAAAGTTATTGTCAGTCGCTGGCCGAGGGGCTGAGATCCCTCCAAAGAAAGCGGAGAGTGCCGAGCTCCTCGCCAGACAAAGGCTGACGTGGCTTCAGTATGAAAAGTGTTCCCAAAACACGTGGCAACAGTTTTCATACTGAAGCCACGTCAGCAAGTTTTTCCAGTACCAGGCGATGTAAAGTCTTTCGACCTAGGGGACCCGCGGCTTGGGAGATGGTGTACAGCAAGTCAGAGGCCGAGGAGAGGCATCACACCGCATATCACACGGCGTACCCACCTCACCTAAGCATGATAGACTGCGGGTTCTCACGTGCGTTTCACACAGCGGAGCCTAGGGCAACTACGGTGCGGTAAAACAGACATTTGAGTGCTGTTTCCTCAAAGTGTCTCCACTTGGGCGTCCAGTACCTCGAGGGTTAAAGGGTCGAGGTTCCATGTTGTTTTGGGGCGAAAAAACTCTCTATGCATTTGTCTTTGATGTACTCGGGCATGCTTCATCCTGCCGATTTTTCCTTTAAGTATGATGTTGACTTGCTTACTCGCGACTAAGCTTCCTTCATACGTGCTTAATGCTCGTATGCATTCGATACGATTCCATACCACATTAAGCTTGGCAGCCTCTACTCTGTAGCTGTGATTATCATTGAACAGACAGCCTCGTCCGCGACGTGCGTACTGAAGTGGGGCGCCGCAAAAAAACACGATACTGCACACAACTGCGCTTGAGAGGGAGGGGATGGGAATCGTACATCCAGGAACGGGCACTCTTCTTAAATGACGCACTCACCCAGCTATTCATGTAGCAGCTGCCTCTAGACAAACGTACACACGTACACAAAGTTTTGGCGGTAGCACACAGTTTCAACTCCAGCGGTTTCAGGCGAAGCTACGTGGTCGACAAGTAATCAACGAGTTTTTCGTGTCTTGAGGGAATCGGTCCCTCCTGTTTTATCATTGGGATGCTTCCTATCTTGTCCCCTAGGTGGGTGTGCTTCTCAACCCCGCTCTCTTATTCCGCCATACAACGCACTCTGTGTTTGGTTGACTCCTGAACCGGGGACACAGGCCTTGTTGTACCGCACCGCAGAACACAACCACAAGCACACATCCCCTCCTCTCTGCTGACAATTTTCACCATATGACCCTTCTCCTCCCCCGCTGGTGCTTTCCTGAGTCGGGGACACAGACCTTATTGTACCGCAGAACAACCACACCCGCCCTTCTGACGTTTTTCACCATATGACCCTCCTCCTCCCTTCTTCCCCTGCCACTGCTGCTGCTGCTGCTGCTGCTGCTGCTGCTGCTGCTGCAGGAGAGGGTGCCAACAAGCGAGCAAAGGGCGTCGAGCTCGAGGAGCGACTTTTCTCGCTGGGCTCGGTCACGTCCCCCGCCGCGAAGGGTCTCCAGAAGCTCGAGGACGCCAGGCGGAGAGCTGGCTCCGGCAGCGGCGGCGGCAGCGGCGGCGGCGGCGCCTCCGCGTCCGGGGGAGGCGCAGCCCCCAAGACCCCTAAAGAGAAAAAGAGTTCCGCCAAGCGGGGGTCCACCAAGAGCAGCAGCAAGAAAGACACGTCCAAGAAAAGGAGACGATAACTTTTTTTTTCTTACGTATCCTTAGCCGGTTACTTTTTGTTTTCTTAGTAGTAATGTTGTGAAAGGGCATCAGTTGGCGAGATGATGGTCGTTCGATCTCCAATGGTCCGTAGCTGACCGTCGTCTTGGTTTCGTAGCTTTTGCAGGACCAACGTCGAACGTACGCCTCCCCTGGGCACGCCCTTATTCATGGATTATGATAGCGGAAGCGGGAGGAGGTGTGGGGAAAGTTAAAGACCAAGTTCAATCGAGTATGATAACGGAAGCGGGAACAGGGGGGGGGGGGGCGGAGAAGGTAAACACCACCAAGTCGACGGCCGTAAGGCAGTATAATATGTCGTCGAGTCGTATTGGCAGACGTGCATCCAGGCGCGGCGAACACGGGGGGAAGAGGGTGCTTTGAGTGTTTTTTTGTCTCACAAACCACGAGATGGACCGAGGATAGTACAAATTGTGCTTTTGAGCTCGTCCGGGAGAACATCGCCCGCTCACGCCTGTGTGTTGGTTTTCGCACGTGTGACTGACGTCTATGAACGTGGGTTTGGAGGAGTAGGGTTTTCTCCCGATTACAGGTTGGCGTGCGTTTTTTGTGATGTTGTTGTCACGCTACCTGGTCCAGACGTCGGACTACGTACCACCTTGCGGTAGAGTCTGCGGACGCCCGAGCCGATGTCACCCCACAGGAGGAAGACCACACATTGTTATTTTTTTCTCTTTGTCGATGTGATAATACAAAGTTGTTGTTTGTTACTTGCGTTCGAATGCACGGCAACTGCTGTGCGTGTCATGGCACCGGGTTGCGATAGTGTTCAATTCTTGTAGATTTGTTTTAGAGCACCCCGGTGCCGTAACACCGATGGGTGCCGTAACACCGATGGCTGCCGTAACACCGATGGCTGCCGTAACACCGATGGCTGCCGTAACACCGATGGGTGCCGTAACACCGATGGGTGCCGTAACACCGATGGCTGCCGTAACACCGATGGCTGCCGTAACACCGATGGGTGCCGTAACACCGATGGCTGCCGTAACACCGATGGCTGCCGTAACACCGATGGCTGCCGTAACACCGATACCGGTGCGGCAATGCCATTTTTCCAACGCACCCACGGTGCGGTGACACCAATGGGTGCGATACGAAATACCCCTCTGTTGGGAAGTATAAGGGCCATTTGTATACTTTAATAATGTGACCGTCCCAATGGTTCCTATATTTCCGAGCAGAGTTTGAGTGGTACACGGTGACCCTGCTACGGTTCTACGTGCAGGGACCCCGATGCGTGCGATACTGAAGGAACGACCACAGGCGCTCCTGGTACAAGTAGGGCCGTTTGTTTGCGGTACAGGGTCCGGGGTACGCATGTACGCATGTGTCAGACGAAAGACGCTGTGGTTCCCTCCTGGGAATAGATAAATCAGTAGTGTCTGTCGTCGTCCAGCCTCTCTGTTAGTCGCAAGCCTAATTTGTTGGTTGGTACTTCCCTCTGTCTTTGTCTTCCTCACGGAGCACGGAAGTACCGGTAGGCTAGCGGCATTGATGAGCTAGATCCTTTTTTGGTTCGGTCGGTTGGAGGTGTGGGATGTGTGGTGCCGTGCTTGGTAGAGTGCATTCCAGATAACCGATTTCCGTGAAAAAAAACTTGAGCTCACTTCGACGCGTACACCTCTGACGGTACGATTGGCGCCCCAAATGATGCCTACCGGCACCCTCACAGCCGCGTTGGTTATGTACAGTTCAATTCGCAGCCCGCGGAGGGTACCGGTATCTGGCGGAAGCACCCGAATCTACGTCCTACGCAGGTTATATCGTTGACATCGCACCGGATGCGGTAACACCGAATAGATACCGGTGCGGAAATGCAATTGCCGTTCTTGATATTTTTGCAAACTCCGGTGCCATAACCACGATGGGTGCGACATCACTCATGGGTGTCATAACACTACGGAATGTTACGAGCAAAGAAGAGATTGTACAGTGGATTCAGAGGGCGGTGGGTGGACAACTGTGACGTGACTATGCGCCACAGCCGCTAACCGCTGTATCTCGTATGTATGCGTCTCTTCGACATCTGTTCGAGACATGTTCTGTATGCGTCGCTCGTTGTCCGCGCTTGTGCGAACACAACATCCGTCAACTGGTGAAAACATCAGCGCAACATCACACTGACTCGCATTTCTACGTCAACCAATGTCGCGAAAAGAACGAAATCACGCTCTCCCTTGCCTCTTTCCTCAAAAGACCTCCCCCCCCGACTCCCCCCACCCCCCGTCCGTGCCGACTCATTTCACAACGAGCCCATAGCATCGTCACACGAAACGACTTTCCCAGAACGCGTGCATTCGTTTCTAGGCGCCCTCTTCACAAGCAGAACCTTGGTCAACAAACTAGCCAGGCCACACGAAAAAAAAAAAAAAAAATCCTTGGTACCTACCAATATTTGACTCCGCTACAAAGTATCCACTCGGCAGCCGTTGTAACAACCTCCAAGTGGCCTACACCAGACCATCTGGCGGAAGCCGTTCCGAGTACTATTTCAGCTAGTGTTTTAGCACGCAAAATTGATGGGAGATTCCAAGACAAGCAGCAACCCCGGCAGGCGCTGACACTACTCGTCGCTACTCCGCTAGGAAAAGAGCCACAAGTGCAAGTTACGCCCTTCCTCCATTGACGGTCCCCCCGTCAAATCCCGCCGCCGCTCGACTGGAGATTCAGCCCAGACCCCCACCCCGCTCCCGCCGACGTGCTTTCTCACAACAACAGCAGTGTTGGTTGGCACATGGGAACCCTGACAGGGCGTACTATACTGACCCTGAGAGAGAGAAAAGGTGCCCGCAGTTTTCTGACAGGTCCATTTTTTTTCAAACAAAAGGTGCCATCGTGCTAAAAACAATGTCACCAATGGTGAACCTCCGCCGACAACCGGAAAAAAGGACTCAAGTGAAAGGCCGCGGGGACCAAGCCCCAAAGCGGCAAAAAAGTAGGGCCGACACACACCTAGCCTCCACCGGTTGCTATCTGTCGATCCCCTACTTGAACGAAGAGAAAATCGCCGCTACGGCTGCGCCGCCGGCGTCGGCGCCGCATGCATATGTTTCCCAAGCAGCAAACCTGCAACAACGTCTCTCTGACATCCATTTGGTAAAAAACGCAGGGACAAACGAGACTTGTGGTCGCTGTTGTGGTCATTGCCGGCACTACAGCTGGCTTTGTTGACTCGGCACTTCAAGTGCGAGCTCCTACACCTCTGCACTTGCTCTACCATCTTGCGCTGCACCTACTACTTCATATTGTCGTACTCCCGGTCACATCTTCCTCATCTACTCCGCTCAAACCCCTCGCGTCCACAAGCCATGCTACCACCAATCATCCCCCGCGCAGCTGCACCGTGGAAGATGAGGAGTGAAGCACGCTCGCATCCATCGCCCATACCAAGCTGGAGTGCAACAACAACAGTAACAAAAAAAAACACAAAAAGAACAACAGTACGCAGAGACAAGCATGGCCAGACGTAGAGATACAATGGGTTTTTAATGATACGACCGGTCGTGCTTCGAGCGCACTTAGAAATCAGATGAATTGTCACGCGCTGCTGCTTATATACTACTCTTTCATCACACCCACCATCCCCCGTCTCGCCCAATACGAGGTCTCCATTTGGGCACAGGCGAGGATCGGAACAGCCTTTGGCTAACCTCGCCATCACACGAAAAACAAACGCGTTACATGGCGTGGCGGCCTACGGGCGAAAAAATGGGACACGGCGTGGCGGCCTAAGGGCGAAAAAATGGGACGGCGGCACAAAGCAAGCCGCTCTTTTTGGGGCAAAAAATAAACAAATCGCAAAACGAACACGACGCCGCCTCCACTCCAAGCCGGCCCCGGCATGGCTCTCGTTTCCCCCTCTCCCCATGGGGGGGACAACACGCCTAGCTATCATCCCACTCCATTGTCGTCGCATCCCCCGAGGCCTCTACCGTCGTCCTCTCCCCAGCCAATCCGCCCCCAGCTAGGTCTTGAGGGATAATGAGCGACAAGGCACTACCACCGCCGTTTCTCACACTAACGTTCGCGTTTCTGGCAGGATGTCGCCCCCGCCCCCGTTCGACGAGCCCACGCCGACGATCAACCCCTCCCCCCCTTCCCTCCTGGCCTTCGGCCCCCCTGTTCGCCCGTTGAGTGAGCCCGCACCGCCGCCGTTGCCGCTGCCGCCGTTGTTGATGCCATTTGCCGCCGACGCCGAGGAGGAGGAGGAGGGGGCTGCGGTGGAGGGGGTGGCGCCACTCAGCATCCCTCCCCACGTGGCTTCTCTGTGGGTTATTTGGAGGAGCGCATCCTCCACCTCTTCAAACTCTGCGGCGGCCGGGGGGGGGGGGGGGGGGGGGGGGGGAAAGTGGTAAAAACCCTTTTTCAAAGGGGCGTACCCCTCTTATTAGGGGGTTTTTTTCAAGGGGTTTTACGAAATCCCCCCCCGAGAAGGAGGAAAACCTCTTTTTCTTTTTCTCCAAAAGAGAAACCCCCAAAAAACACCCCCCCCGCCCCGGTTTTTTTTTTTTTTTTATTTCCCCCCTTTTCTCCCCCCCCCCTTTTTGGG